TACGTCCGAGATATGACTGTAATGCATTGAACGAAAATTGGGCTACTTATAGTGAAACTACACTTATAAAGTAATAGATCCAGGTTCAACAACTAACTTCTGATACTGATACTTTTTCAGAACAGAATCTTAAGTTCAAAGAGTTTATTTTTTCCATAAGAATTCCTTAAGACCGTAGCAGGAAATATAACTCTGAAAACAAATATAACCGAAATTAAGACCTTCAATAGTTTAAGAGCTGCAAATTCCTCAATAAACTACTAATAAACATATTTTCAGAAAATGGACTTGATATGATTTAACTAGAAAACGGCTAAGACGAAGATGATTTTTTTCTTAAGAGAACTCTCATAAGGTCGCTGCGAAAACTTTTGCCCCAAATTTTCCCATTAAGAACTCTTTAAGATCACAGCTGAAACTTTTGACCCAAATTTTCCCAATAACAACTCCTTAAGGTCGCATCGGTAACCTTAAACAAATAATATCGTTATGTTGTCTTCCCCACTACTGTGGTTAGAATGGATGTGGGGATAGTGGGGGGGAGGGGGGTGCGTGGCCCATAGTGCAGGATGTATTGAGGTGAGCCGGTGGTGCAAGATGTGGGGTCTGGAAGCAGGGGGTTGTGGGTGCGGGATGTGGGTTTGGGCTGGTGGAGTCTAAGGGAAGGCACGTGCATTGGGTTTGAGGAAATGGAATTGGAAGGATGGAGGTGGTGAGGAGGTGTGGTTGGAATCCCAGAGAGTTCAAAAGGAACCTCTATCTATAATGGACTATCTATAATCCTGAACAATGATAGAGAGATTTCAAAATATATACGAACATTTTAAGCCTACTGGCTCAAGCGAGGCAGCTATTGACCTTGGTGAGGCAGCTCCTATTGACTGCCAATGTAGAGGAGACGGTGTCAGACAGAGTAGAGGAGACGGTGTCAGAGAAGAGGAGACGGTGCTAGAGTAGACGAGACGGTGTCAGACTAGAGGAGACGGTGTCAGCGTAGAGGAGACGGTGTCAGAGTAGAGGAGACGGTGTCAGCGTAGAGGAGACGGTGTCAGAGTAGAGGAGACGGTGTCAGAGTAGAGGAGACGGTGTCAGAGTAGAGGAGACGGTGTCAGAGAAGAGGAGACGGTGCTAGAGTAGAGGAGACGGTGCTAGAGTAGAGGAGACGGTGCTAGAGTAGAGGAGACGTTGTCAGACAGAGTAGAGGAGACGTTGTCAGACAGAGTAGAGGAGACGCTGCCAGAGTAGAGGAGACGTTGTCAGACAGAGTAGAGGAGACGGTGTCAGAGTAGAGGAGACGGTGTCAGAGTAGAGGAGACGGTGCCAGTGTAGAGGAGACGGTGCTAGAGTAGAGGAGACGGTGCTAGAGAAGAGGGGACGGTGCCAGTGTAGAGGAGACGGTGTCAGAGTAGAGGAGACGGTGTCAGAGTAGAGGAGACGGTGCCAGAGTAGAGGAGACGGTGTCAGAGTAGAGGAGACGGAGCTAAAGTAGAGGAGACGGTGTCAGAGTAGAGGAGACGGTGTCAGAGTAGAGGAGACGGTGTCAGGGTAGAGGAGACGGAGCTAAAGTAGAGGAGACGGTGTCAGAGTAGAGGAGACGGTGTCAGAGTAGAGGAGACGGTGTCAGTGTAGAGGAGACGGTGTCAGAGTAGAGGAGACGGTGTCAGAGTAGAGGAGACGGTGTCAGTGTAGAGGAGACGGTGCCAGAGTAGAGGAGACGGTGTCAGTGTAGAGGAGACGGTGTCAGAGTAGAGGAGACGGTGTCAGTGTAGAGGAGACGGTGTCAGAGTAGAGGAGACGGTGTCAGTGTAGAGGAGACGGTGTCAGAGTAGAGGAGACGGTGTCAGAGTAGAGGAGATGGTGTCAGAGTAGAGGAGACGGTGTCAGTGTAGAGGAGACAGTGTCAGAGTAGAGGAGACGGTGTCAGAGTAGAGGAGACGGTGAGTAGAGGAGACGGTGTCAGATTTGAGGAGACGGTACCAGAGTAGAGGAGACGGTGTCAGAGTAGAGGAGACGGTGTCAGAGTAGAGGAGACGGTGTCAGAGTAGAGGAGACGGTGTCAGAGTAGAATAAACTGTGTCAGAGTAGAGGAGACGGTGTCAGAGTAGAGGAGACGGTGTCAGTGTAGAGGAGACGGTGTCAGAGTAGAGGAGACGGTGTCAGAGTAGAGGAGACGGTGTCAGAGATGAGGAGACGGTGCCAGAGTAGAGGAGACGGTGTCAGAGTAGAGGAGACGGTGTCAGAGTAGAGGAGACGGTGTCAGAGTAGAGGAAACGGTGTCAGAGTAGAGGAGACGGTGTCAGAGTAGAGGAGACGGTGTCAGAGTAGAGGAGACGGTGTCAGTGTAGAGGAGACGGTGTCAGAGTAGAGGAGACGGTGTCAGATATGAGGAGACGGTACCAGAGTAGAGGAGACGGTGTCAGAGTAGAGGAGACGGTGTCAGAGTAGAAGAGACGGTGTCAGAGTAGAGGAAACGGTGTCAGTGTAGAGGAGACGGTGTCAGACAGAGTAGATGAGACGGTGTAAGAGTAGAGGAGACGGTGCCAGAGTAGAGGAGACGGTGTCAGCGTAGAGGAGACGGTGCCAGAGTAGAAGAGACAGTGTCAGTGTAGAGGAGACGGTGCTAAAGTATAGGAGACGGTGTCAGAGTAGAGGAGACGGTGCCAGAGTAGAGGAGATGGTGCTAGGGTAGAGGAGACAGTGTCAGAGTAGAGGAGACGGTGTCAGAGTAGAGGAGACGGTGTCAGCGTAGAGGAGACGGTGCCAGAGTAGAAGAGACAGTGTCAGTGTAGAGGAGACGGTGCTAGAGTATAGGAGACGGTGTCAGAGTATAGGAGATGGTGCTAGGGTAGAGGAGACAGTGTCAGAGTAGAGGAGACGGTGTCAGAGTAGAGGAGACGGTGCCAGAGTAGAGGAGACGGTGTCAGAGTAGAGGAGACGGTGCCAGAGTAGAGGAGACGGTGCTAGAGGTGCCGGTGGAGACGGATTAGAGGTACCAGAGAAGAGGTGCCGGAGGAGACGGATTAGAGGTACCAGAGTAGAAGTGTCAGAGGAGACGGATTAGAGGTACCAGAGTAGAGGTGTCAGAGTAGAGTTGCTGGTGTCAGAGTAGATGTACAAGTGCCAAAGTAGAGGTGCTAATGATTGAGTAGAGGTTCAAGTGCCATAGGAGAGGTGATAGTGTCAGGGTAGAAGTGCTAGTGCCAGAGAAGAGGTGTCGGTTTTAGAGTAGACCTGCCGTTGACAGAGTAGAGGTGCCGGTGTCAGAGTAGAGGTGCCGTTGACAGAGTAGAGGTGCCGTTGACAGAGTAGAGGTGCCGTTGACAGAGTAGAGGTGCCGTTGACAGAGTAGAGGTGCCGTTGACAGAGTAGAGGTGCCGTTGACAGAGTAGAGGTGCCGTTGACAGAGTAGAGGTGCCGTTGACAGAGTAGAGGTGCCGTTGACAGAGTAGAGGTGCCGTTGCCCAGTAGAAGTGATATTGCCATAATAGAGAGGCTAGTGACAGAGTAGAGGAGACGGTGCCAGAGTTGAGTACACGGTGCCAGATTAGAGGTGCTGGTGTCAGAGTATAGGTGCCGGTGTAAGAGTAGAGGTGCTGGTGTCAGAGTAGAGGTGCCGGTGTAAAAGTAGTGGTGCTGGTGTCAGAGTAGAGGTGCTAGTGCCAGCTGTAAAGAAGCCGGTGCCAGTGTAGTGGCAGAGTAGAGGTGCTGTCACTCGTGTCAGCATAGAGGTGACGGTGGCAGAGTAGAGTAGTAGATGCTAGAATAGAGGTGCTGATGTCAGAGTAGAGGCTCTAGAGTAGAGAAGAGGGGCCGGAGTAGAGATACTTATGTCAGCTGTGTCAGTGCCAGAGTACAGGTGTCAGAGTAGAGATCCCGGGACCAAAATAGAGGTACTGGTGTTAGCTGTGCTAGTGCCAGAGTAGAGGTGCCAGAGAAGAGGTCTCAGAGGAGAAGTACCAGAGCAGAGGTGCAAGAGTAGAGGTGCCAGAGTAGAGGTGCCAGAGTAGAAGTGCCAGAGTAGAGGTGCCAAAGTAGAGGTGCCAGAGTAGAGGTGCCAGAGTAGAGGTGCCAGAGTAGAGGTGCCAGAGTAGAGGTGCCAAAGTAGAGGTGCCAGAGTAGAGGTACCAGAGTAGAGGTGCCAGAGTAGAGGTGCCAGAGTAGAGGAACCAGAGTAGAGGTGCCAGAGTAGAGGTGCCAGAGTAGAGGTACCAGAGTAGAGGTGCCAGAGTAGAGGTGCCAGAGTAGAGGTGCCAGAGTAGAGGTGCCAGAGTAGAGGTGCCAAAGTAGAGGTGCCAGAGTAGAGGTACCAGAGTAGAGGTACCAGAGTAGAGGTGCCAGAGTAGAGGTGCCAGAGTAGAGGTGCCAGAGTAGAGGTGCCAGAGTAGAGGTGCCAGAGTAGAGGTGCCAGAGTAGAGGTGCCAGAGTAGAGGTGCCAGAGTAGAGGTGCCAGAGTAGAGGAACCAGAGTAGAGGTGCCAGAGTAGAGGTGCCAGAGTAGAGGTGCCAGAGTAGAGGTGCCAGAGTAGAGGTACCAGAGTAGAGGTGCCAGAGTAGAGGTGCCAGAGTAGAGGAACCAGAGTAGAGGTGCCAGAGTAGAGGTGCCAGAGTAGAGGTACCAGAGTAGAGGTGCCAGAGTAGAGGTGCCAGAGTAGAGGTGCCAGAGTAGAGGTGCCAGAGTAGAGGTGCCAAAGTAGAGGTGCCAAAGTAGAGGTACCAGAGTAGAGGTACCAGAGTAGAGGTGCCAGAGTAGAGGTGCCAGAGTAGAGGTGCCAAAGTAGAGGTGCCAGAGTAGAGGTGCCAGAGTAGAGGTGCCAGAGTAGAGGTGCCAGAGTAGAGGTGCCAGAGTAGAGGAACCAGAGTAGAGGTGCCAGAGTAGAGGTGCCAGAGTAGAGGTGCCAGAGTAGAGGAACCAGAGTAGAGGTGCCAGAGTAGAGGTGCCAGAGTAGAGGTGCCAGAGTAGAGGTGCCATGAGAGGCGCCTGAGACAATGAGGGAGACCCACCGCCATATCCGTTGGTCAACAGAGTAACGGTCCTGGTCTTGACCATTGTGCTGACCGACACCTGCGTCTTCGTCACTGTTGTCGCCACCGTTGCCGTTACCGTTGCCGTTGACGTCACCAGTGATGTTGTCGCACTAGTTATAGTCGTTGTTGCCGTAGTTGTTGCCGTTGCTGTTGTCGTGGCTGTCACGGTTGCTGTGGATGTTGCTGTTGCCGTGGCAGTGGTAGTTGCCGTAGTTGTTGCCGTAGTTGTTGTCGTAGCCGTTGTCGTTGCCGTTGCCGTTGACGTCACCGTTGCCGTGACGCTTCCCGCTGGCCTCACCGTGGCTGTTTTTGTCTGCATGTAAACAGTAATACTTGAGAGTCATCAACACATTTGCTTAATTTATCTATGATGCCACAATACACCCCGTGTGTTCACAGCAACACGTGGTGCAGTAGGTGGACAATACACCCCGTGTGTTCACAGCAACACGTGGTGCAGTAGGTGGACAATACACCCCGTGTGTTCACAGCAACACGTGGTGCAGTAGGTGGACAATACACCCCGTGTGACCACAGCAACACGTGGTGCAGTAGATGGACAATACACCCCGTGTGACCACAGCAACACGTGGTGCAGTAGGTGGACAATACACCCCGTGTGACCACAGCAACACGTGGTGCAGTAGGTGGACAATACACCCCGTGTGTTCACAGCAACACGTGGTGCAGTAGGTGGACAATACACCTCGTGTATCCACGGAATCTAATTATGCCCCTAAGCTCTAAATATGTTCCTAGGCTCTATGTTCATGTGCTCTAAAAAAATCATTTTACTCTAATTATATTCTTGTGCTATAATTTGTTTACTATGCTCTAAGCGGGTTACTGTGCTCTAAGCGGGTTACTGTGCTCTAAGCGGGTTACTGTGCTCTAAGCGGGTTACTGTGCTCTAAGCGGGTTACTGTGCTCTAAGCGGGTTACTGTGCTCTAAGCGGGTTACTGTGCTCTAAGCGGGTTACTGTGCTCTAAGCGGGTTACTGTGCTCTAAGCGGGTTACTGTGCTCTAAGCGGGTTACTGTGCTCTAAGCGGATTACTGTGCTCTAACAGGTTACTGTGCTCTAACAGGTTACTGTGCTCTAACAGGTTACTGTGCTCTAACAGGTTACTGTGCTCTAACAGGTTACTGTGCTCTAAGCGGGTTACTGTGCTCTAAGTGGGTTACTGTGCTCTAACAGGTTACTGTGCTCTAACAGGTTACTGTACTCTAACAGGTTACTGTGCTCTAACAGGTTACTGTGCTCTAACAGGTTACTGTGCTCTAAGCGGATTACTGTGCTCTAACAGGTTACTGTGCTCTAAGCGGGTTACTGTGCTCTAAGCGGGTTACTGTGCTCTAACAGGTTACTGTGCTCTAACAGGTTACTGTGCTCTAACAGGTTACTGTGCTCTAACAGGTTACTGTGCTCTAAGCGGATTACTGTGCTCTAACAGGTTACTGTGCTCTAAGCGGGTTACTGTGCTCTAAGCGGGTTACTGTGCTCTAACAGGTTACTGTGCTCTAACAGGTTACTGTGCTCTAACAGGTTACTGTGCTCTAACGGGTTACTGTGCTCTAACAGGTTACTGTGCTCTAACAGGTTACTGTGCTCTAACAGGTTACTGTGCTCTAAGTGGGTTACTGTGCTCTAACAGGTTACTGTGCTCTAAGCGGGTTACTGTGCTCTAAGCGGGTTACTGTGCTCTAACAGGTTACTGTGCTCTAACAGTTTACTGTGCTCTAAGCGGGTTACTGTGCTCTAACAGGTTACTGTGCTCTAACAGGTTACTCTGCTCTAAGTGGGTTACTGTGCTCTAAGCGGGTTACTGTGCTCTAACAGGTTACTGTGCTCTAACAGGTTACTGTGCTCTAATTGTGTTTCTGTGTTCTATTTGGGTTACAGTGCTATAATTGTGTTTCTTGGCTATAATTATATTTATGTGATCTAATTGTGTAATTTTGTTCCTGAGCTCCAATTGTGTTCATAAACTCTCATGTGTTACTGTGCTATGTGTTAAATTGCTCTAATATGTTCCTGTGCTCTAATTATGTCTCTGTGGTATAATTGTGTTCATGTAGACGCCTGACATCTGAGTGGACAGCGCTTCGGATTCGTAGTCCTGAGGTTCCGGGCTCGATCATTGGTGGAGGCGGAGACAAATGGGCAAAAAAGATTCTTTCACCCTGATGCCCCTGTTACCTAGCAGTAAATAGGTACCTGGGAGTTAAACAGCTGCTACGGGCTGCTTCCTGGGGGGAGGGGGGTGTAACAAAAAGGAGGCCTGGTCGAGGACCGGGTCGTGGGGACGCTAAGCCCCGAAATCATCTCAAGACAGCTTCAAAATGTGTTCTAGCATGTTAGTGTAAATTTGTATTACTGTGCTCTACTATGTTCCTGTGCTCCAATTGTGTTCCTGTGCTCCAATTGTGTTCCTGTGCTCCAATTGTGTTCCTGTGCTCCAATTGTGTTCCTGTGCTCCAATTGTGTTCCTGTGCTCCAATTGTGTTCCTGTGCTCCAATTGTGTTCCTGTGCTCCAATTGGGTTCCTGTGCTCCAATTGTGTTCCTGTGCTCCAATTGTTTGCCTGTGCTTCAATTGTGTTCCTGTCCTCCAAATATGTTCCTGTGCTCCAATTGTGTTCCTGTGCTCCAATTGTGTTCCTGTGCTCCAATTGTGTTCCTGTGCTCCAATTGTTTGCCTGTGCTTCAATTGTGTTCCTGTCCTCCAAATATGTTCCTGTGCTCCAATTGTATTCCTGTGCTCCAATTGTGTTCCTGTGCTCCAATTGTGTTCCTGTGCTCCAATTGTGTTCCTGTGCTCCAATTGTGTTCCTGTGCTCCAATTGTGTTCCTGTGCTCCAATTGTGTTCCTGTGCTCCAATTGTGTTCCTGTGCTCCAATTACGTTTCTAGGCTGTAGGAACATAATTGTGTCATGTCTCTGGGTTCTAATTATATTCCTGGGCTCTAATTAGTTCCTGTTCTCCAAAATTGTTTTATGTACTCTAATTATGCCTGTACTCTAAGTGAGTTTAGGTGCTCTAATTGTGCTCATGTGCTATAATTGTGTTGCTCAGCTCTAATTGTATTTCTGTGCTATAATTATGTTCCAGTGATCTAATTGAGTTCTTGTGGAAAAATTGTGTTCTTGTGATCTTATTGTATTCCTATGTTCTAATTGTATTTCTGTGCTCTGTGCTCTAATTGTATTCTTGTGTTCTACTTGTATTCATGTGCTCTAATTGTATTTCTGTGCTGTAATTGTGTTACTTTGCTCTAATTGTGTTCCTGTGCTCTAATTGTATTCTTGTGCTCTAATTGTATTCCTGTGCTCCAATTGTGTTACTGTGCTCCAATTGTGTTACTGTGCTCCAATTGCGTTACTGTGCTCTCTAATTGTGTTCATGTGCTCTAATTGTATTTATGTGCTCTAATTGTATTCCTGTGCTCTAATTGTATTCCTGTGCTCTAATTGTACTCCTGTGCTCTAATTGTATTCATGTGTTCTAATTGTTTTCCTGCGCTCCAATTTTGTTCATTTGCTCTAATATGTTACTGTGTTCTAATTGTGTTCCATTGCTATAATTATGATTCTGTGCTTTAATTGTGTTCCTGTGCTCCAATTGTGTTCCTGTGCTCTAAGCTCATTGTGCTTTAATATGTTACTTACTAAATGTTATTGACGTCAATTACATACTTGTGTCATTAACTGTTAATTTCAGGGCTCAGTTACACTGTGGGGTTTTTACTCCAAACCAAGAAAGTAATATAAGAACATATAGTTTTTTATTGTCTTGAATAATTGGAACAATTTCTGCGATAAATCCAATATTGCAATTGATAATATAAATTTAATTTATTAGGCTTGGCTATCAACAAATGTCACAAATGTCAGTGTTTGTCACAAGTTTGTTGACCTCATCCAAAACTGTTGTACCATATCACCTCACCCAAATGCGAGTATAAATATGGAAGCAAATGGCGTGTTTACAGGTTACAGTTGTGTGTGTAAACTAGTCTTTGAAAATGTAATAGGTAATTACGAAACGCGTTCAGGCGTCGCGTCAGACTAGAAATAAAAATGATTTTTGGAGAATTGATTTTTCAATTACCATCGACAGTAAAAAGAAACATAAGAAATTTTGAGAAAATTCGTGTTAGAATTATTAATCTTACTTTTTCGGTCATATTTAACAACATATGTTTACAAGAAAAACTGCTACCAAAATATACTAATATTAAAACGCACAACCCTGCAGCAAGAAATCAAGCCTTCACGATAAAATATCGCCAAGATCTGAATCGAAATCATATACACAAGGCAGAAAATGTGATCAAAGACAACAAAACGCAACTACTTCACGCTACAAACCAATGGAGAAACAGCAACATCGACGAAAACCTCCATACTCGTATCGATCAACACCTCGACATCCTCACAGATCGACATCATCACAGCACCGAAAACAGGATCATCAAGAAACTAACAACATTATATGGAGGACCTATGGCGATTCCACGACCAAGAGATGGCTTTCTGAACCTTGCAGGAATCAACCTCACTGAGGACCAAGTCACTCTCCTAAATCTGGGTATAAACTGTCACGTTATGTCCAGACCAAGAGAGATGGCCCGGAAAGTAGAGTTGGAGATCCTGTTGGACGAAATAATCGACCTCGAGACGCAAAAGAAGGTCTTCACCATAGACACCTTGAAAGCGGAACTTATTGCAGAAGGAGGAAAGATTCGAGGCAACTACAGAAGCACCATACTATCCCCCAAGCTCAAAGCGGCAGCTAAGAGAATTCGTGAGAACAAGGAGATATATGTCATTCTTAAAAAAGACCAATATCTGGCGAAAATGAACCTTATACTCCCTGACCAAACTAAATTCCAAAGGGTAAAGAAGGACACTACAGCCGAATTGAAAACAGAGGTAAGCAGATTGATCGAAACTGTGAACGCCAAGAAATCCAGACTCCACCTGCCAAAGATTATTGGGAAATACAAAATTGGGTATGCGTATGGAAATGTCAAGACACACAAGCCTGGAAACCCACTTTGGCCAATCATCAGCCAGATACCCACACCCACGTTCAGACTGGTGAAGCGACTCAACGGCTTGCTGACTCCTTATGTACCTTGTGCTTTCAGGCTGAAGTTTCCACAGGAATTTGTTTTCTTACTGCGGGGAACATGGGCCACAGGGAAAAAGAGCCTCGTTAGACGTAGAATCGCTGTTTACCAACGTACCTGTGGATGAAACAATCGGGATGATAGCGGACAGAGTGTATCATCATCCGGCCTGTATTCCT